GATCAGCCTCTCTCAAAGTGGTGGGATTACAGGCATGAGCCACTGTGCCTGGCCAAAATTTCTCTTCTTAATCTTTGTAGGAGACCAAAAAGATAAGGAAATTTTCCCCTTCACATGTTCTTTCTTAGCTTTTATTTGGGCATGCTGAGCAATCTGTTTTAAATTTAGCCCATCACTAGTCTTGTAGCTACATTGCAAAAGGCTTTCTAAGACTTAAGGTTCTCATCAAGGCATTGCATCATATCAGGAAGTCAGTGTTGAAATAGACTTTTTCTGACATTAACCAAGTTCTCTCTTGCAAAATCATGTTATAATTCAGTAAGATTTGGTTCTGACCAGGCTGGTCCCTTAACTGCATGTTAAATATACCTCTACCTTGGAAATACCTCTTCTGGAGGAAAATCAGATTGTAACACCATTAGAATCACAAACAGAATTCTCTGGCCTGTTGTAATTTGTAATTTTTAAGGAGTCAGTGTGTCAGTGCTGACATGCCAAGAATCCAAGATAAAATAGGACATACTCTTTGTGTGAACTGCAGGTGACAGTGGATTTGTGGGTGCCCTTGGGAGTGTCATCAGCTGTCAGTTGGAGGGCAGCTTGATTAAAAGTATGGACAGGTCTGTGTGACTTCAACTTGGGGTATTCGTTGGCTGTAGAACAGTTGCATAGATTAAAAAGAGGGAATTGCAAAATTTGGCAGCTGAATATCACCCTGAGGGTTGAACAGTAATTAACTTTATTTTTAATGTAAGAAAATGATTTCACTTGAGAACTGGAAAATGCTGAGGATGTAGGTAGAGAGCAGTAATTATTTTACTGTCTCAAGACAATAGCTAGAGGGTAACAAAGTAGTAAATTAACAGTCTGGAGTATAGCCTACAAAGTAATCACACTGAAGAGGTATAAAACTTTAGACACTTGAATCATTCAGAAAGATAATCAGTTTGTCTGGATTGCTAAAGGGTTGGTATTTACATAGGCAGGTAATATTCAGAGACTTTTCAACAACAGTTAGAATTTTAGGATTTGGGAATACTGTTATCTTGTAAACTTTCTTCAAGTACATTAATCTGTGACCTTAAAACCCTGAAGAAGAGACACTTGTTTCTTAAAGAGGCTGATTTGCCTGAAGTCATAAAACAGTTCCCAACTCTCCTGACTTAGTCCAGTGAGTCATTTTCATTTTACCTTGATGCCTATGGTTATAATATGAACATATATCTCTATCAATAATCCATTCCTGAAAATCAGACACTGTAGGACTACCAACTAGGAGCTTATTTTCCACTGTTTTAAATGGGAACAATTTAAATGTATTACATGTCAACCTAAAACTCCAAACCAACTTCCTAAGTAATAATAAACACAGCAAAATACTTGTAAGTAACAAATATTTTAGGATAATAGATGCTGAAAACACTACCTACTCTCCAAATGGTTATTGTAATCGGTTAAAAAAACCCAAACACCCAACATTACTGCTTTGTGTGCAGTTGTACACAGCACATCCCCTTTGGCAGTCTGCATTCTCCTCAGAATATCCACAAGGGATTCTGCTGTTCTATCAAAAACGTACCTCAACACATTTCCTGCACATAATTTTGTTTGAAATATTATATTGAGCTTTGGGTTTGTATAGCATTTACTACATAAGTAACTACAGGAGAACATATGGAGTTTGGATGTTAAAAACCAGAAGGCTTCCACAGAGAAGAGATGTAGGTAGAGAGCAGTAATTATTTTACTGTCTCTAGCCAATAGTAAATTAACTGGAGAGATAGTCTTCAGGGTTTGCTGTAACCTAGAAGCCAAGGAAGTGAGAGCAAAAGCCAGTGAAAAGTAGTCATTTAGTTCTCCATTTTGGGTTAATGCAGATGTGTATTTCAGAAAACCAGGGTTCTCTCTTGCAGCATCATGTTATAATTCAATAAGATCTGCTGCTGGCCTTCCCAGGAGATGATAGAACAGAGTTGCTGAGAAAACCAACAGTAAACATGAAACAACCCACACATACTGAGGATGTCTCAAGGATTGGCTTCATTGGCGTGGTTGGACCTTTAACAGAAGGTCGTGGCCTGGCAGAGTGGCTCATGCCTATAATCCCAGTTCTTTGGGAGGCTGAAGTGGGAGTATTGTTTGAGCCCAGGAGTTCAAGACCAGCCTGGACAACATAGCAACACCTGTCTCAATTAAAAAAAAAAATTATCCAGATGTAGTGGCTGTAGTCCTAGCTACTCAGGAGGCCGAGGCAGAATGATCTCTTGAGCCCAGGAGTTTGAGGTTACAGTGAGCTGTGATTGTGCCATTGCACTCTGGTCTGGGTAACAGGGTAAGACCCTGCCTCTGTATATATCTTTAGATCAAGATTTTAAATTTTGTGGGTTTTTTTCTGTATTCTTACCAATTTCTAGATTGTTTGATACATCGATTTCTGATGGAAGTGTTAAAATCTATGATTGTGGATTTTGTCCATTTATCTATATAATTCTAAGTTTTAAATTTACATGTTTTCACTTATAAGTGGGAGCTAAATACTGAATACTGGGAACAGATACTGGGGACTCTTAAAGCAGTGAGGGAAGGTGAGGGTAAGGGTTGAAAAATCACCCATTGGGTACCATGCTCACTACCTGACAGGCTCAGTAGAAGCTCAAACCTCACCATCATGCAATATATTTATGTAACAAACCTGCACATGTACCCCTTGAATCTAAAATAAAATAATTAAATCATAAATAAATGTACATGTTTCAAAACCATATTTGGTAGCTATCTATAGCTGCTTATAATTATAAAAATATACATTATGTAAATATAAAGAAAACGAATTTACATATTTCAAAGGTATGGATAAAATTCAGGAATTTTAATATTGATGAATTGTTTTCCTTCTTTATTCTGTTTACTTATTTTGCCTTAAATAATGTTTATGCACTAATATTATACGAGCTGTTTTGGTGTTTGTCTGATACATCTTTTCAATAACTATTTTCAGTGTTCCTAACTGGATTTGTTTTAGATGTGTTTCTTAAGCATATAGCTATAGTCTTGGGTTTTTTTGTTTTGCTTTATTTTTTGGTTTTGGAGGATTTTTTTTTGAGTCAGAGTCTCACTCTGTCACCCAGGCTATAGTGCAGTGGCATGCTCATGGCCACAGCAGCCTCAGCCTGCTGGGCTCAGGCAATCCTTTCACCTCAGCCTCCTAAGTAGCTGGAGTTACAGGCGTGCGCCACCATGCCCAGCCAATTTTTCTAGATTTATTGTAGAGATGAGGTCTTACCAAGTTGCCCAGGCTGGTCTCAAACCCTTAGGCTCAGGCAATCTTCTCACCTCAACCTCCCAAAGTGCTGTAATTACAGGCGTGAGCCACTTGGTCACATGACCAGAAGCAGCAGAGTTCAGTGGGCTAAGGATTCACATAGACTCCTGCCTGGCGTGGTGGCTCAGGCCTATAATTCCAGCACTTTGGGAGATCGAGGCAAGAGGATTGCTTGAGCCTATGGGTTCAAGACTAGCCTGGGCAACTTGGTGAGAGCTCATCTCTACAATAAATCTAGAAAAATTAGCTGGGCATGGTGGTACATGCCTGTAGTTTCAGCTACTTGGAAGGCTGAGGCGGAACACCTGAGTCCAGCAGGTAGAGGCTGTGGTGGCCATGAGCATGCCACTACACTCTAGCCTGGGCAACAGAGTGAGACTCCAACTCAAAAAAAAAACCCCAAAACTCTTATACTTCTCTAACAAATAGTAATTCTTGAATGTTACTTTTCCAGAGTCCTTTAGTTGAGATAATCCAGAGAGTTTAATCTATTGAGAACCTGAGTCTGGTTTTGTATGTGGAGAATATAAGTTCAAAATGTAATATACATTTCTCAGATCCAACAAGGTGCTTATGGAGCGAGCTATTTGTGCATTTTTCTTTTTTCTTAGTTGGAGTCTCACTCTGTTGTCTAGGCTGGAGTGCAGTGGCATGCTTATGGCCATCACAGCCTTGACTTGCTGGGCTTAGGCGATCCTTTCGCCTCTGCCTTCCAAGTAGCTGGAACTAAAGGCATGCACCAGCACACCTGGCTAATTTTTTTTTTTTTTAAGTTGTAGAGACGAGGTCTTGTTATGTTGCCCAGACTGGTCTCAAACCTCTGGGCTCAGGCAGTCCTCTCGCCTCCACCTCCCAAAGTGCTGGGATTACAGGTGTGAGCCACCGTACCCAGCCTATTTGTACATTTTAAGCTCAAACTCTCTGTCATTAGTGTTAACCACTTATCAGTTTTTCATCTCTAGAATAAAGTTAACAACAATCTTAGAAAGGTATCATAGCTTCTGATTACTTGAACACATCTCTTGGTTTGGAGTAACAATGACTAAGGCTATAGCGTTAAATTTAAGACATGAGAAGTTGAAAGATTTATCTCAGTGACAAAGTAGAGCCATAAAGAGAGTTAGGAATAATACCCACATTCCAAGTGGAAGGTTTAACAGCTATAAAGATTCCTTGAAAGCTAAAGATCTACCAAAAATTGAAGCTCCATTGAGGGAAGGATTCAAGAATGGGTAGGGTATTTTTTTCTATTATAGGATGAATAAATGTGAGAACTTACCAAGGAAGCCTAGTAAGAACAGGCCTCAGAGATATTAGGCTTATGGGCACAGAGCTTTACACATGTAGATAAGTACTGTAGTTTCTTAAGTTGATTTTTAAGAGTTATAATTAACAAAAGCCTCTTATAGCTGTAAAGCAAAAAGTGGTCTAAGTTAGGAAGGTATTTAAGCTGCTACACCTGGTGTGCTTTACCCTTTATTTTTCAGTCTCAGCTTTTTGTTACTGGCTCATTACTTATTTTTTTTCCATCTAAGAAAAGCCTGCCTTTAGCCTGCAGAAAACACTGGAGATGCCTTTGGGGAAGATATCAGAGGCATCCCCAGAGAAGTGGTGGGCAGCGTGTATTCTCAGCATGCCCCCGCCCTTGTGTGACCAAAGCTACTCTTGTTTTGTGCAGTGTGGCTTCCTGCTGTGGTGCATGGCCCCGAGCCCTTCTAATGGGGCTGAACTGCTCTATAAGCGCATCATCCGTCCTTTCTTCCTGAAGCACGAGTCCCAGGTGGACAGTGTGGTGAAGGACCTGAAAGACAAAGCCAAAGAGACTGCAGATGCCATCACTAAAGAAGGTAAGACTCAGGGACAACCTGGTTCAACATGTGAGAGATATGATACGCTGGCTTAAATGACTGGTTTCCTGGCCTCCTCTTTCTGTCAGTGCTCCTCAACCAAATGCCAAGGCTGCACTGGGATTTCTTTACAAGGACTTTGCCTGTTGCCCTTTACTTTCCCCAGGATTCTTCCTCCATATCACATGTAATGCAGCATTTATTCAGTCAGCATATCAGGAAAAATGACTTTCCTTGGCAGGCAGAGATCATGTATATTTAAGTAGATCTCTTCTAATTCACTGTGGGTTGACCTGTTCAGTATGCTGTTCAAATTGTTTTTGTTACAGGTCCAAAAGAATATGCTCTCTCTCTCAGCTCCCCTCCTTCGTTTACTCAGCAAGTATATACTTATTGAGGTGTTTAGGATGTGCCAAACATGCTCATAACACTAGCGATGAACCAGTGAACCAAAGAGACCATAATCTTTGAACTCATGAAGCTTACTGTGTAGTTGAGAGGTAGACAATACAATTGAAAAATTATGTGGTATATTTAGCAGATAATAAAGGGAAAAATAAAACAAAGTAGAAAGATAGGGAGGGCCAGCGACAGGAGGGATGGTTACAATTTATACAGAAAAATGTAGGAAATCCTTACCAAGAAAGCTGTCCTGAATCCAACTCGAATGTGGTAAAGGAAGGAACCATGGGGAATGACACTCCCGAAGGAGCGGCACCTGGAAAAGCCCTAAGGAAGAACCACACAGCAAGTGATCTTCAGGGATAGCAGGAGGAGACAGTGTCAGAGTTGGGGATGGAGGATGAAAGACAAATCACATATACCTTATAGACCACTGTAGAGGCTTGGACTTTTACTCTGTGTGAGATGAGGTGCTTTGGGGGAATTGTGAGCAGGAGAGCAACATGATCTGGTCTATATTTTAACAAGATGACCATGGGACCTTGTTAAAAGGTTCCTGCAGTGATCTGACCAGAGATGATACCATAGTGCTAGTAGTATATTTCAAAGAAAGAATCAATGAGGCCAGTCTTAGTGGCTCAGCCTGTAATCCCAGCACTTCGGGAGGCTGAGTCTAGTGGGTTGCCTGAGCCTGCAGGTTTGAGACCAGTCCAGGCAACTTGGTGAGACCTCATCTCTACAATAAATCAAAAATTAGCCAGGTGTGGTAGCGCACACTTGTAGTTCCGACTACATGGAAGGCTGAGGTGGAAGGATCGCCTGAACCCAGCAGGTCGACATTGGGGTGGCCGTGAGAGTGCCACTGCACTCCAGCCTGGGTGACGGAGTGAGACCCCAGCTCAAAAAAAAAAAAAAAGAAAAGAAAATCGGGAATAAGCCAAAAAATGATGATGGAAGTAAAGAGGTAAATTGCTGGAGCTCTGTCCTTGAGTAGACCAGAGGATGATCTAGTGTACAAACAGAGGGATTGGTCAGAGAAGCTGGAATTTTATGATAACAGAAGAAATCAAGGTTTATGGGATGCTGAAAAGTAGGATAACGTGACTGAGAAGCCTATAGAAGTGATTTTCTGATTGCTGCAGATCAGAATGGAAAGAAAGCAGGCCAAGTGAAAGAGAGGGTGGGGAAGGAGATGATGGAAAGAGAAGATATGAGATACTGGGTAAGATTGGGGCTGACAACCTTTTTCTGCAAAGGGCCTAATAATTTAAGTTTTGTAGACCAAGTCTCTGTTGCAGCTACTCAGTTCAACCACTGTAGTGTCAAACAACCATAGACAATACATGCATGAGTGTAGCTGTATGTTGCTGGCTCCTCTAGGACAATGGGAGAATAAATGGACTGGGACAGTATCCTGTAATTGCCTGGCAGTATTAAAGCCTAGGCAACTTGGTGAGACCTCGTCTCTACAATAAAAACTAAAAATAAGTAGCTTGACGTGGTTGCACATGCCTGTATTTCCAGCTACTTGGAAGGCTGAGGCGGAAGGATTGCCGGAGCCCAGCAGGTTAACGCTGGGGTGGCCGTGAACATGCCACTGCACCCCAGCCTGGGCCACAGAGTGAGACTCCAACTCAAAAAAAAATTGTGTACTTATTCTTACATGTTTAAACTTCAGTCACCTTCAAAATACTCTGTCTGATGCAATACAGCTATCAAGACATTTTTTTCCACTGTGCAAGCGTTTTTGAACTCACCAATTTTGATGCATTTTTGTGCTTCTGCCATTTTTTGTTAGATCTCTTCACATTGGCAGAACATTTCCCTTTAAGGACTTTTTTCATCCAGGGAAACTAAAAAAGTCACTCGTAGTGAAATTGGGTGAAGAGGGAGGGTAAGGCATAGGGGTCATGCCATTTTTGGTTAAAAATGGGTAAACACTCAGTGTGGTATGGGCAGGTACACTCATGAAATGGGCAGAGGTGTTGAAGGAATCTCCAGCTGGCCGTGGTGGCTCACTCCTGTAATCCCAGCACTTTGGGAGGTAGAGGTGAGAGGATTGCCTGAGCCCAGGGGTTTGAGGCCAGCCTGGGCAACTTGACAAGACCTCATCTCTACAATATAAAAAAAATAGCCAGGCATAGTGGTATGTGCCTGTAGTTCAGTTACTTGGAAGGCTGAGGCAGAACGATTGCCTGAACCCTGTAGGTTGAGACTGCAGTAGCCATGAGCATGACGCTGCACTCCAGCCTGGGTGACAGAGTAAGACTCTGATTCAAAAAAAAAAACTCCAAAAAAAATTCACCAAAGTGAACGCAGCCTCTCACAACAACGCTGGCTGCTATACTGATGCTGATGGATTCCTAGAATACTTACCTAGCAGGGGAAGCCTGTACTATAAGGGGCCCACCCTCCAAAAGATCATTTCAGCGTTTTGGGGGACCTCCCCTTGTATATTTCCATAGATATTAAAATCACCAATAATTAAAATAGAAGCAGTGTTAGAGAATGACATAAGTTAGGAGCTAAAATCTTCAAAAAATGAGGCAGAAGTGGCCCAAAAGTCAGAATGACTGGGAAAAGGAAGGAGGGTAGGTGATATATTCTGATGACATGAGATTCTGAAAGCAGCAATGAACAAAAAAGACAACACCTACCAGACCTCCAGATCCAGTGGTTAGGGTCATGGAAGGGAAAAAACAGCTGCCACTTGAGAAAGCATTTTCTTTAGGGTCAGCTGTATTTCTCTAAGAGCAAGAAGATAAAGGAAACATTCAGAGGAATGGATAAGGATAGAGATTTTGCTGATAATGGGTCTTGAGTTCTAGATGGATTCAAGGGTGTTAGAAGTTGGAGAAAAGGCCAGGCACAGTGGCCCAAGCCTGTAATCTCAGCACTTTGGGAGGCCAAGGTGAGAGGATTGCCCGAGCCCAGGGGTTCAAGACCAGCCTGAGCAACTTGGTGAGACCGTGTCTCTACAATAAATCAAAAAATTAGCCGGGCATGGTAGCACATACCTGTAGTTCCAGCTGTTTGGAAGGCTGAGGCAGAAGGATTGCCTGGGCGACAGCGTGAGACTCCAACTCAAAAAAAAAAAAAATTGGAAAAAGGTGAGCAGTGGACATAGAATAAGGGAATTTTTTTTTCTAGTCTCCGTGGTTAGAATGTGGGAGTTGAGAGGTAGCCTGACCACTGGAGATACAAGATCCCACCAAGACAACTCTCCAGTAGCACTGATGCCCCTGGGGTGCTGTGTTCCCCCATTCCTCCCTCATACACCTCTCTCTCTTTTGAACTCCTATTTCTGGGCATACAATTCTGGTCTGCTTCACTGTATTTTTCTGTAATTTCTAGTGTTTTTCTAACTTGTGGCCTTCACATCCTCCCAGTTTAGGATCATTTCTTTTTAAGAACCTTCATTTCTGTTCCTTCCTGCCTATAGCCTAACCAGCAACCAATGTCATTTCTGTCGAGTTCACTCACATTTCCTAGCCTCTTGGTTCTCTTAGGTGTCAGTACTCTAACATCCAGTTGTACTTTGATATGATACATTCCTAAACAGGGGCATGAGAATTAAAATAAGTTAGAAGGAACGTGCATACTGACACATTTTAGACTTTTCACAATGCTTTTGGATTCACTAGGAATCTTTACAAAGGGTTAGTTAAGAGAGAGACTGTAATTTCTTTGTTGGTAGCTTTATTCACCTGTTTCACTTGAGCAGTGGGAGAGCAGGTGTCAGACAGCTGGTGGACAAGGAGGGACTTCTTGTCTCTCATCGCGGAGACTCTGGGCTCCATCAGAAACAGCTGCAGATTGTAGACTGCATAGGAAGGCTGGAGGCTTCCAGACAATCCTTCCCCTTCCATCTCACACACCACTCTGGTTCTTAGAGTACATTTCCAGCCACTTGGTAATTAGAAAGGAGATGACTTAGTCTCCAGATGTAAGAGTATTTTCTTGATGATTGTAGTATCTTGCCACTTAACTTGAAGACTTGTGGCAAACTATTCCCAGCATAGGAGGAACGGTGTGCACAGGGAGAGTATAATCAGCCTTCTGTATCCTCGGGTTTTGTATTTGTGGCTTCACCCAACAGCGGATTGAAAACAGTACAAAAATAATACAAATTTAGAAAAACAATACAGTGTAACAACTATTTACATAGCATTCACATTGTATTAGGTGTTACAAGTAATCTCAAGATGATTTAAAGTATATAGGAGGAAGTGCATAGGTTATGTGCAAATGCTACTTACGCCATTTTGTATAAGGGACCTGAGTACTTACTTGTGGATTTTGATATCTGTAGAGGGTCCTAGAACAATATCCCTCCAACTCACATGGAAATGAAGGCTTTCTCTGACTTTTGTCACCATGTGATAAATGTGATGACTTAGTTGTCATCAGATTGATATGTTGTGAAATTTTTTTTTTTTAGTTTTAGTCTCACTGTTACCCAGGCTGGAGTGCAGTTGCATGCTCATTGCCATTGCAGCCTCAACCTGCTGGGCTCAGGCGATCTTTCCACCTCAGCCTTCCAAGTAGCTGAAACCACAGGTGTGTGCCACCACACCTGGCTAGTTTTTTTTTGTTTGTTTGTTTTTTTGAGTTGGAGTCTCAGTCCATCGCCCAGGCTGAAATGCAGTGGCACACTCACAGCCACCCATGCCAACGTCGACCTCCTGGGATCCGGCAGTCCTTCTGCCTCTCTGCCTTCCAAGTAGCTGGAACTACAGGCGTGCGCTACCACGCCCGGCTAATTTTTTTGATTTATTGTAGAGACGAAGTCTCACCAAGTTGCCGAGGTTGGTCTGGAACCTGTGAGCTCAGGCAGTCCACTCACCTCAGCCTCCCAAAGTACTGGGATTAAAGGCCGAGCCACCCAGCACAGTCTAATTTTTTGATTTATTGTAGAGAAGGTTTCACCAAGTTGCCCAGGCTGGTCTTGAATCCCTGGGCTCAGGCAATCCTCTTGCCTTCGTCTCCCAAAGTGTTGGGATTACAGGCGTGAGCCACCATGCCCGGCTACCTAGTGAAATCTTACAGGCAATCACCTGGATACAAACAGGAATTTGACTGTACAAAGGAACACTACTCCTAAGGAATCTCCGCTTCTTTTGATGCAAATTCTCTGATTCCCTTGGAGGACAGAGGGCAGATAGTTTAGGTGACGCCGTCACATCAAGAAGCTAGGCTAAACGACCTTCAAGAATTTTGCTCGCCGGGCTCGGTGGCTCAGCCTGTAATCCGGTGCCTTTGGGAGGCTGAGGTGAGTGGATTGCCTGAGCCCGCGGGTTCGAGACCCGCCTGGGCAATTGGCGAGACCTCATCTCTACAATAAATCAAAAACTAGCCGGGTGTGGTAGCGCACACCTGTAGTTCCTACTTGGAAGGCTGAGGCGGAAGGATCGCCGGAGCCCAACAGGTCGAGGCTGCGGTGGCCGGGAGTGGCCACCGCACTCCAGTCTGGGCGACAGAGTGAGACTCCAACTCAAAAAAAAAAGAATTTTGCTCAAGTATTTGTGTTCTGAAAGAGGTGTTTTGTCCATTTCCTGGAAACCCTCCTATCCCGGACCACAAACCTCAGTGGGCTCTCACTTGAACATGAGTCACCTGTGTTTTGTTATCTAGTAGCAACATTAGGCACAATGCTTGCATTGCAAAGAGCTTTAATATATTTTTCTTTCCCTCCTGACAGCCAAGAAAGCGACCGTGAATTTACTGGGTGAAGAAAAGAAGAGCACCTAAACCACTGGCCGGATAAAACCTTTCTGCCCTTGCTGTACCTTCCTGTTAGAGCTCGATGTTGTATTAGGAACTGTGGTATAATCATTTTAATAATATTGCCTTGGAAACATTTTTGATATATAAAAAAAGTGGAATGTGTTGTAAGTTTCTTTGCTTACTTTTACTGTCTATATACATAGAGAACATTTTAATTTAAACTTAATGCAGTGGGCAGTGTCCAAATTCTTGGAAAATATGTTTTGCCTCCAGGTAGAAAAAGATGTATGTTACTCTCCTGCAGGAAACATAAACTTAAAATAAAATGATATATCTCACAGACTTTACTGGGCTCACTCTGCATGCATTTTCTCTGTACTTACATTTAGGATAATCTTTATGTAATGTACAATTTTATATAATTCTTGAATGTTTTTAATGTATTTGTGTGCATATATAGAGGGGAGTGTTACTGTCTGACTGTGAATATGCTCGTGGGTTAGGGGACAGGGGAGGGTGTATAAGCCACCTGTAACTTCTGTACAGTAAGACCACCTCCCAAAAGCTGGAAGTACTGCTGTGCTGGTGTGATCTACTAAATAATACTACAGAAAATTAATACAAATGATTACTATTCAGATGAACAAAGTGAGAAATGAAGTTGAATGGCGATTAGCCTGGCGATTGTTTTTCTAATATTGTGGCACCTGAGTACCAGCACAGCTTTGTAAAGCAGTCGGTCCCTCTAGTGGTAAATGGGGAAATGGACACATACATCATTAATCTGTAGCTCCCACTTTCCTGTAGAACTAGTAATATTGGCCCAGGCTTGGTGGCTCATGCCTGTAATCCAGCACTTTGGAAGGCCAAGGCAAGAGGACTGCCTGAACCCAGGGGTTCAAGACCAGCCTGGGCAACTTTGTGAGACCTACAATAAATAAAAAAATTAGCCAGGTGTGGTGGCGCACACCTGAGGTTCCAGCTACTTGGAAGGCTGAGGCAGAAGGATCACCTGAGCCAGCAGGTCGAGGCTGTGGTGGTCGTGAGTGTGCCACTGCACTCCAGCCTCAGCAACAGAGTGAGACTCCAACTCAAAAAACAAAAACAAAACCAAAACCTAGTAACTTATAAGCTTTAGAATTGTCTGTTGTTAAGATGCTAAAATGGAAACCATTCTTGGTTTTACTTTCAAAGCTGAGTAACATTTGTTGGTTTAGTCTTGTTTCTTTTCCAGTCTTCCTTGTTAAATCAGTTTAAAGAACCTCCAAAGACTTGCATGCCTCTAATAACATGTGTGATCTTGTTTATATCATTAGCAACAACATGTTAATGATGACACCTAGCTCTAAGAGCAATCTGGGAGAATGAGAGGAAGCGTGATATAACCTACAAACTACTGGCAACGGTTAAGTCAAACTGCCTTTACCTTTTTAAGGTCATAAGAGGCCTCCCTAGTTTACAAGCCAGAATCATTTCTATCCATTTAAATGCTTTAATCTTTATTCTTTGTTTTGATGAACTGTATTTGAATACATAGTATAATTTCAGAACAATAAAGTTAAAATGGATGCCTCCAAATTGATTCACCAGGTAGCGTATAGAGGTCATGACAATTTGTTTGGACTAGAAAATCTGAACTTTACAAGAATCCTTTTGAATAAGATGAAACTAGATTAAACCAAATATGTAACAAAACTAACAAGATTAAATATCCAACCAGTAAAGTATTTTTTAAGACAAAGATAATTAGCTCACCTTTAGTGCTAATCAGGTAAGATCATGATGATGTCTCATGATCTAAAAAATAAAGATGTCAAAAATAATGGGCAGTATCATCCAAATATTACAATAATATGGACCAGAACTTTTATTTTTTTCAGGGAAAAACCAGTGATTATTAAGCACCTTAATAAACTTAAAGAGAAAAAAAGAAAAACCTTTGTAGAAAGCAAACAATTGTTATCGGGAGAAAAACTCTAGTTTAAAAAAAATACTTCTAGGCGTATTTAAATTTTAAAAGTACCTCTAGGAGTATTTAAATCCTTTCCTCATAAATAAAGCTACACCTTTTATGGGTGCTAGAATGAAAACTAGCAATTATAATCAAGTTGTTAATATACAGAATATGTTGTCAGACAAGATAAAGATGCATAAAATTACTATTGCTCATAATTACAGGCTAATATCAGTTTAAAAAGTACTACTGTACAATATATTCTGAATGCAATTTTTTTGTCCCATTGATACCACAGCTTTCTCCTAAGGTGCATTCTGCAAGAAATTTAAATTTCTGTTTTTGGCAGTCAAAGCATAAATGTTAATGGCAAGAGAAGCGATGAGTCGAACAATTCTGTCTCATACTATTTCCCAAATAAAATATTGCCATGGCTAGAGAATTTGAAAAAACTAATTGAGCCTTTGTCTGGCTAGAAGACAAGCATGTATTTGTATGTGAATAGTATTTCAAGGGTACATAAAGTCACAGAATTCCTACTAAACAGTTTAAGTTCTTAAAAATGAAAGAATTCCAGCTGCAGTTATTCCCTTAAGTGAAGGCTTCAATCATCAACAAAGTGACTGCTACTCTGGAGAGTCTTCTGCCTACAGTCTGAAGAAAATGGGCCTGACCTTTTAATAAGTTATCACTGATCCTGAAGATGTGATACATTGAATGGAAATGGATGTAAATAAAATTCAGTTCTCGTTTAACTGTTATATTTCATTATTTTGTGGGGCTTTTATTTTTTCCAACTCAGAATTATTTAAGCAAAAATTTAAGTAAATACAGATAGAACAGTCTTAAACACTGCTGTTTATTATCTCTATTCCTCACATGACTTGTAATTTCCCCCTGGTGGTTACTGCCTCCCCAAAGAAAAGAGTCACTAATGAAAAACATACCAACCAAAAATTAGCGCTACATTTAAAGAAAACCAGATCCACTGCTTTCTAACTGCAATATTGCATTACACACAAAAGACATCTCCCTTGACTTACGTATTTTGTGGTAGTGTTGACTTCTTACCTACGTCTCTAAATCATTCTGTACTTCTGTTTTAAGAAGAGACCAAGAGGCCGGGCACGATGGCTCATGCCTGTAATCCCAACACATTGAGAGGCTAAGTCAGGAGGATTGCTTGAGCCTAGGCGTTTGAGGCCAACCTGGGCAATGTAGTAAAACTTCACAAAAAAAATTAAAAGATTAGCTGGGGGTGATGGCACTCACCTGTAACCCAGCTACTTGGAAGGCTGAGGTGAATTCACCTGAATCCAAGAATTGGAGGCTGTGGTGAGCCGTGATCATGCCACTGCACTCCAGCTTGGGTGACAGTGTGAGACACTATCTCAAGAAAAACCAAAGGAGAACTTGAGATTTGTTTAAAATACCTACTGCAAGACTGGGCATGGTGGCTCACGCTTATGATCCCAGCACTTCGGGAGGCTGAGGTGAGGGGATTGCCTGAGCCCCATGGGTTTGAGACCAGCGTGGGCAACTTGGCAATAAATCAAAAAATTGGGTGTGGTGGTGCGTGCCTGTAGTCCCACCTACTTGGAAAGCTGAGGCAGAAGGATAGCCTGAGCCTAGCAGGTCAAGGCTGTGGTGGCCGTTAGTGTGCCACTGCACTCCAGTCTGGGCGACAGAGTGAGATTCCAACTCAAAAAAAACAAAAACAAAAAAAAACCAAATCACAAAACCTACTGCTGAAGGGTGTGCTTCGTCAGCACAGCCTCCTACATCTGCTTGTTTATGTCTGTAAGTCTAGAATCAGTGTTTAGGATAATAGGTACAATTCAGATCCTCAGTCATCAAATATAACCATTCTATATAGCATGGCAGGAAAGTAAACCTATTTGAGAATATTAAAAGTATCCAGGCCAGGCTCGGTGGCTCAGCCTGTAATCCTGGCATTTTGGGAGGCCGAGGCGAGTGAATTGCCTGAGTCTGCAGGTTCGAGACCCACCCAGGCAACCTGGCAAGCCCTCCTCGCTACAATAAATCAAAAACAGCAGGCATGGTAGCGCGCGCCTGCAGTTCCGGCTACTTGGAAGGCTGAGGCAGAAGGATTGCTGGAGTCCTGCAGGTCGATGCTGCGGTGGCCGGGAGCGTGCCACTGCCCTCCAGTCTGGGCAACGTAGTGGAACTACGACTCAAAAAAAAAAAAAAGTATCCTTGGCTCGTTGATAGTAACTTAAAATTTCTTACAATACACACCTTGTAAAGAATAAGAACATTGAAGCCGGGCTCAGTGGCTCAGACTGTAATCCCGCGCCTTTGGGAGGCTGAGTTGAGTGGCTAGCCTGAAGCCCACGGGTTCGAGACCCGCCTGGGCAGCTTGGTGAAACCTCATCTCTACAATAAATCAAAAAATGAAGCCGGGCTTGGTGGCTCACCCTGTAATCCCGTGCCTTTGGGAGGCTGAGGAGAGTGGATCGCCTGAGCCCGTGGGTTCGAGACCCTTCTGGGCAACTTGGTGAGCCCTCATCTCTACAATAAATAAAAATAAGCCGGGCGTGGTAGCGCACACCTGTAATTCCGGCTACTCGGAAGGCTGAGACGGAAGGATCACTGGAGCCCAGTGGGTAGAACCTGCGGTGGCCGTGGCCGGGAGCGTGCCACTGCACTCCAGCCTGGGCGAGGGAGCGAGACTCCAACTCAAAAAACAAAAACACACAAAACTCTTCAGGTGACTCTCATGTAGCCAGGACTGGTAGAGACAACTAATGAGGGCAAGAATCTCGAGGTCTGGTGAGTTTGTCTTAGCCAGTTCACCTGGTCTATCAGTTTCCTATTGCTGCTGTAACAAATTACCACAAATTGAGTGGCTTAAAACCACCCAAATGGGGATTAGGATGTGGTCATCCTTGCGGGGGAGATGGACATGATTCTGCCTACCATGTCTGGTCTCTCTTTCAGCAGATAGTCGCCTGCAACATCAGAAAAATAACTGCAAAGAGCAGTCTTTACATTGGAAGAGTAAAGCTGAGCCTAGGTCTAAAGGGTGAGAGATTAGAGCCAGGTGAGGACTCCAGAAGATATTTTAAAATGATGAAATCAACAAGGAACCTGATGTGAATGAGCTTTTTGAAAGGACACTTTGACAACTGAGAACTTGTGGTTGAATTAGTGATATTTTGAAAATGAAGCAAATGAAAGAACAAAATAAGGTTGGGTGCAGAGGCTCACATGTAATCCCAGCACTTTGAGAGCCCAGGAATTCAAGACCAGCCTAGGCAACACAGCGAGACCTCACCTGTACAAAAAAATTTTAAAAATTAACCAGGCATGGTAGCGCATGCCTGTAATCCCAGCTATTTGGGAGGCTGAGGTGGGAGGAGCGCTTG